AGCACTCCTGTAGCCACCACTGCCACCACCACTGTGACCCCACCTGGAACAACTCAGGGGACATCCTCCTCGGCAACTGTCCCAGCCACAACCACAGGAGTGACCTCTGCCTCCGCCACCACTTCTGCTTCACCAACTATTGAGGCCACCACTGCCACCACCACTGGGACCTCACCTGCCACCACTCAGGGGACCTCTTCTTTGTCCACTGTCCCAGCCACATCCACAGGGTTGACCTCTGCCTTTGCCACAACTTCTGCTTCCCCAACTCCTGAGGTCACCACTGCCACCACCACCGTGACCTCACCTGCCACAACTCTGGGGACCTCCTCCTCAGCCATTGTCCCAGCCACCACCACAGGAATGACCTCTGACTCCTCCACCACTTCTTCTTCCCCAACTCCTGAGGCCACCACTGTCACCACCACCATGACCTCACCTGCAACCATTCAGGGTACCTCCACCTTGGGCACTGTCACAGTCAGCACCGCTGTTGTGACCTCTGCCTCCGCCACCACTTCTACTTCCCCAACTTCTGAGGCCACCACTCTCAGCACCACTGTGATGTCACCTAGTACGATGCAGGGGTCCTTGGCCACTGTCCCAGCCACCACCACAGGGATGTCCTCTGCCTCCGCCACCACTTCTGCTTCCCCATCTCCTGAGGCCACCACTGTTACCACCATTGTGACTTCACCTGCCTCCACTCAGGGGACCTCCACCTCGGGCACTGTCACAGTCAGCACCGCTGTTGTGACCTCTGCCTCCGCCACCACTTCTACTTCCCCAACTTCTGAGGCCACCACCGCCAGCACCACTGTGACGTCACCTGCCACAACTCAGGGGACCTCTGCCTCGACGTCTGTTGCATCAAGCACAACAGCTGTGACCTCTTCCTCCGCCACCTCTTCTGTTTCCACATCTCCTGTGTCCACCACTGCCACCACCTCCGTGATCTCACCTGCCACCACTCAGGGGACCTCTGCCTCAACCATTCCCCTAGCCAGCACCACAGCTGTGACCTCTGCCTCTGCCACCACTTCTGCTTCCCCAACTCCTGAGGCCACCACCGCCACCACCACTGTGACCTCACCTGTAACGATTCAGGGGACCTCTTCCACAGCCCCTGTCCCAGCCAGTACCATAGGGGTGACTTCTACCTCCACCTTCACTCCTGTAGCCACCACTGCCACCACCACTGTGACCCCACCTGCAACCACTCAGGGGACCTCCACCTCGGGCACTGTCCCAGTCAGCACCGCTGTTGTGACCTCTGCCTCTGCCACCACTTCTGCTTCCCCAATTACTGAGGCCACCACCGCCACCACCACTGTGACCTCACCTGTAACGATTCAGGGGACCTCTTCCACAGCCACTCTTTCAGCCAGTACCACACGGGTGACCTCTGTCTCCCCCACAAATTCTGTTTCCCCAACTGCTGAGGCTACCACTTCCACCACCACCGTGACCTCACCTGCAACGTCTCTGGGGACCTCTTCTTTGTCCACTGTCCCAGCCAGCACCACAGGGATGACCTCTACCTCAACCACCACTTCTGCTTTGCCAACTCCTGTGGCCACTACTGCCACCACCACTGTGACCTCACCTACCATGACGCAGGTGCCCTCTTCGATAGCCACTGTTCCATCCAGTACCTCAGGATTGACCTCTGCCTCCGCCAGCAGTCCTGTGGCCACCACTGCCACTGCCACTACCACCGTGATGTCACCTGGCACGACTCAGGGGACCTCCTCCTCGGCCACTGTCCCCGCCACCACCACAGGGATGACCTCTGTCTCTGCCACCACTTCTGCTTCCTTAACTCCTGAGGCCACCACTGCTACCACCACCGTGACCTCCACTGCCACGACTCAGGGGACCTCTGCCTCGACCAGTGTCCCAGCCAGCACCACCACTGTGGCCTCTCCTGTCTGGACTCAGGGCACCTCTTCCTCCACCTCTTCGTACCCTGTTCTGGGAACCACTACCGTTGCTAGTGCAAATTCGAGCCCCAGCATCGTCACCTCCATGCCATCGCCCACATCCTCTTCTCCTTCTACCACTTCTAGGGTTACATCTACAACCACTTCAACTACCACCTCCATTGTTCCTAGCACAAGTGGTAAGTAATTTCTCATTTTTATTTTGTAATTTTTTTTTAAAGTTTTCTCTTCATGTTTTTGCTTCATATACTTTCATAGTTCATTTACTCTTTTTATATTTTCCGATCTTTTCCCTTTTAACATTTTAACTTTTTTCCTTATTATGTCCATTTGTTTTCTGTTTTGTTTCTCAATATTTTACGGCTCTTTCATCATAGTAAATTTGAATTCACGGTTGTCTGTGCATGTGCATGAGATTTAATCTTCATGAGCTTGATGTCATTAGTTTTTACGTGTATGTTTGGCATCTTTTTCTCTCTCCACATTAACTCTCATTTTTGTCCTTCTTCTCTAGAGAAGGTATACTGTCTTTTATTCGTTTTTAACTCTACCTTCATGACCTTGAGGTATTGTCTCTCTTTATGTTGTAACTTTTTCTGACTGCAGATCTTGGACTTGTCTCTGTTTATTCTGCTTTTGGTGTGATATCCGCCCACACATTTTCTCTTAGAATGTCATGGCCCATTTATTTACTATGTATATTATATAATGTAAGACTTTATATATTTTTTCCAGATGAGCAAAGGATAGTTGTCCTTAGTTAAATAAAATACAGTTATTGTAACACTTGAGTACATTCCTTGAGCTAGATTTCTCCTGGGCCTTCTCATATATTTATGATCTGTTTCCTGCAGTATTTGCCCAATCCATGTTTAACTCATAAAAATAAAAGGATGTTCTTCCTCTCTTGGCCAGGGGATTCAGGACTTTATAGTTTCTTCTTAAGTTATCTGGGTTCTGCGCAGTTTCTTTCTCTTGTTGAGCTCTTTGGTTTTCTGACAAGGACCCCCAAGCTTCTTCAGGTTGGAGACCCTGAGTCTTGTGTCTGTAGAATGTCCCATACCTATTGCCTCAGTTCATTTGTGTTGCTGTGACATATTACTTGATGATTGGTAAAGTATAAGCAAAGGGTGTTTATTTGGTTCATGATTCTGGTGACTAGAACAGCATGGAGCTGGCATATGGGCATCGCTTCCCTGGCTGCATCCCAATATGAAGGGTAAGCACCAGGCACATGCAGAAGAGTCATGTGTGCAAATCAGGAAGCAGGAGCTTGGGGACAGGCCAGTCTTACCTTTTATTTTATTTATTTGTTTATTTTTGGTGGTGTTGGTGATTGAACCCAGGGCCTTGTGCATGCGAGGAAAGCACTTGACCAGCTGAGTTATATCCCCAGCCCCAGCCTTGCTTTTTTACAACAACCTCTTGAGGAAGACCCTCCTCACTCTGCCAGATCAGCATTAATCCATTCATGAGGATGAGGCCAAGATGGACCTAGTTAGCTTCTGTGTGGACTTACTTCCTCAAGGTCCTACCACTCAATGGGGGACTAAGATTTCAGCATATGCATCTTTGGGGGGCACACCGCAACCCATGCAGGTGTTGCACAAAAATTGCCTGCACTCCCGTGGGGCTCACCACTTGTGCTGGTCACCACTCTGAAGGCTAATGGTTTCCACTTCTGTCCTCTTTCTCTTCCCCAGAGGCTGTACTTCCCTTTATGCTGTTAGGCAACAGATGAGGACCCCCAAGTTTTGTTTTTGTATCTTTTCACAAACCTGTGCATGGTTTTGTGAAACGATATAACACTTAAATCAGGTCTGAGCATCTTCAGTAAGGAGAGAGGGAGAAGGGAGAAGAACGAACTGATTTAGGATTTATGGCTCTCCCGTGTGCCGGGACTCTTGACTCAGAGGCTGCAGGATGTGCCCCCTGTTCTCTGAGTCTGGTGGGGTTAGAACAGAAAGCAGTCTTTGCAGAGTATACACGTCCTTCATGTGCACATCTTGAAATCTGCTCTACACGGGCACAACAATATTCCAGAAAAGCCAAAAAGTGCTTTAGATTTTGCATGTTGATTGGCACGATTCACCAAGAGCTGAACCATGTCTTTTTTTGGGGGGGGCAGGTAATCAGGGATTGAATCCAGAAGTGCTTAACCAATGAGTCACATCTGAGCCCCTTTTATTTTTTATTTTTATTTTGAGACAGGGTCTCACTAAGTTACTGAGAGCTTCACTAAGTTGCTGAGATTGGCATCAAACTTGAGATCCTCCTGACTCAGCCTCCTGAGTCACTGGGATTACAGGTGTGCACCACCGCACCTGCCTCCACTTCCTGTCTTTTTAAACTGTGTCTAGACTCTCCCTCAAGTTCCAAGAGCCAGGAAATATGAGAAGCATCCTAAAGAGATGTTAACAGTAATGAGTTCTTCTGACGCGCGGGGGTTGAGGGACAATGACCACATTCATTCTTAACCTTCATGGAATCTCGATTGGTCCGGTTCCCTGATTTCCCTTATTCCGCCTCCTGTTTTCTCTTCCTGGGTCCTGATGGTGTCACCTGTCACGACACCAGGTTTCTCCTTCCTCATGTGCTGAAGTAAAGCAAGCTAAACTCTGAGAAGGAGGGTCCAGGCTGCCTCTGCCTGGACTCTTGGACAGGCCTCTTCCTGCCTCCCTTCTCCTGTCTGTAAAGTGGGCATGATCCTAACTCACCTGCGCACCCCAGGTCTCACGAGAGTGTCCCATCAGACAGCATCTTTGAGAACACACTCCCCACTATCATGTGCTGTGCAAATACGTGTGGTTGACCAGGACCTTCTGCCTTTCAGTGACCTGCATGAACGGAGGGAAGTGGACAGGAGTGGCCTGTGATTGTCCCCTGGGCTTCACAGGAGATCAATGTCAGTTATTGACCAATATCTGCCTGAATGGAGGTCTCTGGGATGGGCTCAAGTGTCAGTGTCCCAGCCTCTACTACGGGCCACTGTGTGAGAATGTGGTGGAGAGCATCGAGATTGGTACGTGACACCTCACACCCTTCCTCTCCCCAGCACCAGGCCCAGGGCTTCCCACTAGGCTCCTGTTCCTGTCCCATTGCGGTGTGTGGCAGGGAGCATGGCCACTTTGGGGATTGATATTAACCTAGTGATAAGAGAGTTAAAAACATTTTTAAGTGAATAAAAGAAGAAAGTATAATTTGGAACAAAATACCAATTTGGCCCAGAACTTGACCATAAAATGCAACACAGACGTTCTCCGGCTCAGGATGGTTCGACTTAGGATTTGGGGGCTTTCTCTTGGTGCCCGAGTGATACGCATTCAGTGGGAACCGTACTGCAAAGTGTGAATGTGCATCTTTTCCCAAGCGAGGGATGTCAGGTATATTCTCTCGAGATGCAGAGCTGCAGCTCCCAGCCAGCCCCACGGTCACCCGGGGAGTGCAGGGGAGCGACCGGCACTCTACAGGGTTTCTGTTATGGTTTTCTGTAGGTTCGTGGGCGCAACGCCTTTCAGTTTATGATATTTTTTTATTTATGATGGGTTTATCCAGATGTAACCCCATCATAAGCTGAGGAACAGAGCACAGGGCAATATGGGTAGAATTTTCTAGGAGAATATAAGACCCAAGGCCCCTTGGGCTCCATCCCTTATCCCTGAGGACTACAGCATACTTAACCTCTCTTCCCAGGAGACAGAGGGTCGGGAGAGACCCAGGTTGCTGCCTCCACCCAGGGTGGGCTTCTGGGGGGTGCAGGTCTCCTTGGTAGGGAGCCCAGAGGTGATGCTTGCTCAGTAAGTGATGCTCCTGTCACTTCCCTCCAGAGCCACCACCACAGACGGTCTCTGCTCAAATGGAACTGACCGTGACCGTGACTAGTGAGCCCTACAGTGATAAGCTACAGGACCGGTCTTCTCAGGAATTCAAGAAGTTCAATGAAAGCTTCACGGAACAGGTAAACCTGGGAGAGCAAGTCCCCAGGGCCCCTCAGTTCCCCCGGGGAGGAGTCCAGAGGGGTTAGGAAAGCAGCTGAGGGCTATTTCCTCCATGGACTTGTGAGTTCTCGGCTCCCTCATGTCCTCGGACTTGCTAGGGGCCTTGACACAGGAAACCAACTTCCTCTGGAGGCTGCTGGGTGGAGGAACCCTGGTCTCTGGGAAGGAATCTTTCCATTCCAGGGAGAACTGGGGAGGAGGACTGGGAGGTGCTGAGGGACAGGGCGGCCATGCTGACCCTCCTGACGTTCCACAGAAAGGCCCAGCAGGCCCCTAGATGGGACCTCTGGGATGACAGAGTGACCTCTTACCTTTCAGATGAAAACAATTTATTCTGGAATCCCTGAGTATGAAGGAGTCAACATCACAGGGCTGAGGTGCGTATCTGGGGCTGGGCCTTCGGAGTGGAAGCAGCGGTCCTAGTTATAAAGGCCATTGTGACCAGGCCATCTGTCCTAGCCTGCTAGAGCTGCCCCGTGGAACACATGGACTGGGGGCTTCAGCAAGAGACAGTGAGCTCGCAGTCCTGGAGGCTGGAAGTCCAAGATGAAGGTGTGGGCAACGTGGGTTTCTCCTGAGACCTTTCTCTTTGGTTTGCAGATAGCCACCCCGCTGCTGGGTCCTCACATGGTCCTTTTCTCTGTATGCATATCTTGGCTGACTCTTAGTTCAAATTTCCCCTTCTCATAAGGGCAGCAATCAATAACTGAATTAGGGTCCATCCCAACCACTCCATTTTAACTTCACCTGCATCTCTGAGGTTTGGAGATTAGAGCGACAACCTATGAATTGGGGGTCTGACTGTAACACCATTCAGCCCCAACACCTCTCAACGATGATTTTGCCTCTTTTCCCCACTGGATGCTCATCAGGAATGAGGGAGGCCAGCCGGGCTGTTTCTATTGCACAAATGGAAAAACTGAGGCTCAGAGAGATGCAGCGACTCACCTCAGGGGTCCGTTACACAGTGGCAGAGCCGAGATTCAATCCTGTCATGTCAGGAAGAGACCATCTGGAAAACCCAAAGCCGCAGTGGGAGCCAGGGATAGATACCCTGTTTGTCTTCAGAGATGCAGCCAAATCATTGAGCTGGGAGAGGGAGGCGCCCAGGGGAAAGGCTCCCAAGTCCACCCCGTCCTGCCTTCACCCACCCGTCCTCCTGGGATTCTGTCCTGTAGAATCTTCCCCTAGGAGCCGCCCCAATTTTATGAAACCATTTGATCCTTGCTGGCCAACAGGGCTGGCACGATTCCCCTGAGTCCCCCATGGATCATGAGGAAAATCTCTTCTCGTGGGTTAGCAGAGCCATGATGGACAGTTTTCATAAGGAATTTAAACGGCATTGCTATTTTTTGTGTGTGGCCCTGGGGACTGAAGTCTGCACCCTGGGCATGCTAGGTAAGGGCTCCACCAAAGGACCAAAGGACTTGGGCACCCTTGGATCTTGGTACTTGTAAGGGGTCCTGGAACTAGACTGCAATGGCTCTCAAGAGATGACTACATTATGATTCATGTAATTACCCTATAGTGCACATTCTAATAGATAATATTGTATAATTTGATTTTTCCACATGCTGTATTAGTCTATGTGATACTCTAATTTTCTTCTATGAGTATTTCCCCCAAATCTGCTGTTGATAGTTAAGCCTCTCAATACAGCATCAAGAAGATAAAAGGAAGAGGGCATTAGACTTCTAGAATTTAGGAATCTTGGATGGTGCTTATGAGGCCAGACTTTCACTGTATTTTTAAATCCAGAAAAGACTCATTCTTAGGGTACACATAATCCCTGTGCTCCCTGAGAGGTGCTCTCTGGGGCCTGCAGTGTGAGGTTGCTGATCATCAAACTTCCTGGTTCCTTCTATAAACACAGGAGATGGCCTTCATAAACTCTGGGGCTGGCTGCATTGTTCTCTTGAGAGCACTGACCTTGACTTCTAAACCCTAAGTAGATTAAACCCTAATCTTGGGATTTTTTTTTTTTTTTTTTTTTTTTTTTTTTTTTTGCACCAGGGTTTGAACCCAGAGGTGCTTAACCACTGAGACACATCCTCGGCCCTTTTAAATATTTTACTTAGAGACATGGTCTCTCTGAGTCGCTAATTTGCTGACACTGGCTTTGAACTCACAACCCCCCTGCCTCAGCCTCCGGAGCTGCTGGGAATACAGGCATGTGCCACCACCGTGCCTGTCCCTTTTTGATTGGAATTTCAATCATCTGGGAGCTGGAGATCATTTTAGTGTTGACAAAAATATATGTGATTAGAAAAAAAAATGCATGTCTGTGCCTTTGGATTTCTGCATGTCATTTTAAGAGGCTCAGAGACCTCCTGCAGCCCTTCACCTGTCCCTAGGGAGCTGTGACCTCTGAGAGAGCCCCTGCAGTGACTGCCTATCCTGAGACCAAGCCTCCTTCAGGACACCTCAGTGTCTTGCTGGGTTACATCTAGTGACAGTTTAAGGATGGCTTTTCCGTGTTCTCCACCCACATCCAACCACATGGCTGAGGCTCCCTGGAGGCTGCCCAGGCGCCTCCTCCCATTGTTGAAGGCTTCACTTAGGTGCCATTATAGAAAGACCTATGGCAAAGGGCCCACCGTGGTGCCTGGGACAGAGCACTTACCTAGGAGGCCTCAGGTCACCATTTTAATGGTCCCTCCCCCAGCTCTGCCTCCCCAAGAGAGCAGATGGAGCAGAGCCAATGGGAAGGGCGGACACCAAGGCCACCAGGGGAGGATGCTCAAGCACATCATTGTCTCTTCCTCCTCAGGCAGGGCAGTGTGGTGGTGGAGCATGACGTCATCCTGAGGACCAAGTTCACCCCAGAATACAAGGAAGTCTTCAAGAAGGCCACGGAGGAGGTGAAGGAAAAAATCGAGAGTGCAACCAGAGAGCTGATAAGCAAAAATGATACCTGCACAGGTGGGCTCCTGCGTCCAGGTGGGGCTGCCCGAGAAGTTCTTCATGTTTGTCATCCTGGGAGGTGGGGGGAAGGGAGGGAGATGGCAGCTCGCTGAGATCCAGGAATCAGCCCCTCGGCCCTTCACTCAGACTGGCAGATTCCAAGAGAGCCTCGAAAAGGAGGCCATAGAGCCCAGTGGAGTCAGGCCGAGTCCTACAGGGCACCGAAAGGGTCCAAGGCAGCAGGGGCTGCTGGGAAGTGAGGACCAGTGTGATTTATTATGCAGTGAATCTTCTGAACACGAGAGAGGTGCGGGGATCCTGAGAGAAAAGGGACCCAGGGAGCAGCAGGCAGGGCCTCTGGTAGCTGGAAGAGAGGCTGGCGCTGCCTCTGCACAGAGCCGCTTCCTGTGTCCCGGTCACAACCCCACCCACCCCCCACCCCCGTCACACGCCTCAGCCCCTGGGATGCTGGACGGGCTGGTTGTAAGAGTCTCCTTGTGTCTCCTTCACAGCCCTGCTGTGCTTCAACTCAACTGCCACCAAGGTGCAGAACATTACAGTCACCCAGTACGATCCTGAAGGTAGGTGACACGGTGGATTCAGGAAGAGCTGGAGAGGTGAGGGGGCAGTGGGAAGCCAGGGCTCCTGGCGCCTGGTCACAGCTGCTCTCGTGTCCCCTCAGAGGAATGCCGGAAGAAGGCTGGGGAGGAATTTGCCCCCTACTTCAGGGTGGAGTACAAGGACCAGAAGCCTTACTGCATCACGCCCTGCATGGCCGGCTTCAACGCCTCCTGGGACTGCCACTACGGCAAGTGCCTGCTGCAGCGCAGTGGCCCCCAGTGCTAGTGAGTACCCCACCCTACCCCCGCCCAGCTCCTGGGGTCTACCCAAGATGCTGACTGAAGGTCAAGGTCATGGGACTGGGTCCCAGCATCTCCTGAATGCATCAGGTCACAAAGGACTTGGCAGAACATGCATGGCCAAGCCCCCTGGCCAGGTCCAGAGTAGGCTCCGTAGCTGGTCCTCCTGGTGTCCTCTCTGTGCTGGGTGACACTGAGGGGGGGGTGAGCTCCCCGGGAGCAGAAGGAGGGTCCCAGCTTCAGGACATTTCCAGCCTGGCATGGAGGCAGGGGCTTGCTTCCAGGGAAAGGACCGCCATCTCCTGTGAGCAAAATAGGGAAAGAAGGCTACACATCTCCACGGGCAGGAGAGAGCCCACGAAGCCCAGTCCTAGAGGGACAAAAGCCAAAAAGACGTTGCCAACCTAAACCGAATTAGAGAGAGTGGCAGCCGGCGAGAGCACTGGGTGGGCAGGCGGGAGCCGCACTCCTCCCACTCGCCTCAGCCCCCTCGGGTGGAGGCCTGCGAGGTCCTTCTGGGACAGCTTCCTGGGGGAGGGCCTTTCACTCTGGCCAGAGAGGAAAAGAGCCGGGCCTCAGAGGGGGAACAGGGGCCCCAGATCAGGGCGGGGGACAGATTTTCCGGATAGAGAGGAGAACTGAAAGTGAGGATTGGACCGTTAATGGGTGGGTGGAAGGGTCACCTTGGGGTGCAGCCCAAGGAAGTCCAGGGCTGGGCCAGCTGTCCCAAGTCCTGGGTTGCTACTATGGGTAAACCTAGGGGCCTGGCACTGGGTGTTGGACCCACTGAAGTGCCAGCCCAGGGACACTGGGCTTGGTCTCCGTCCATTCTCCTTGCCACACACTCTCCTTCCCCCTTCCCCGCTTCAGACACTCAGGGGTCAGGGCCCAGCTCTGAGATTGGTGCTGACCCCACTCTCACCCCCGCTGCCCCTCTCCCCCATCTCAGCTGCCTGATCACAGAGACTCACTGGTACAGCGGAGAGACCTGTGAGTGGGGCATCCAGAAGAGCCTGGTGTACGGACTCGCCGGCGCGGGCGGTGCCGTGGTGCTGCTGGTCATCGTGGTCCTCCTGGTGTTCACGCTCCGCTCCAGGAGAGAGGTGAAGAGGTGAGCCACGGCTGCCCCTCCCCTCTTTCCTCCAGGTCCCCCTCCCACTCCTCCTGCTCAGATCCTCTGTCTTCGGTCTCTCCAACCCCGAGGTGAAGAGTAAGAAGCTGAAAGCAGGGACCTAGCTTGTCCTTGGGTCCTCGTCCCTGCTCCCTGATCATCATGGGGTCTCTGTACAACTCTATCAACAGGCAAAAGGCCACAGTGTCTCAGTTGTACCAGTGGCAAGAAGACGATGGTGGATCTGTCCCTGGGACCCTCCGAAACATTGGCTTTGACATCCATGAAGGTATGGGCAAACTCCGCTGGACTCAGAATTCGTGAGGACACACAGAGAGAGACCATGGGGAACACTGGTGCTTGAAGGAGGGAAGGGGGCTTGGGTACAGTGGGGCATGCCTATAATCTCAATGAAGTGGGGGGTGGAGGCAGGAGGATCACAAGTTCTAGGTCAACCTGGGTAACTTAGTGAAGCCTTGTGTCAAAATAAAAAATAAAAAGGGCTGGGGTGTAGCTCAATGGTAGAACACCCCTTGGTTCAATCCCTAGTACAAAAAAAAAGTAGGGGCAAGAGGGGAGCATTTGCCATTTCCCAAATATTTGGTGCCACATTGGAAACCCTATTTCCATGGCTAGTTCCTGCAAGACCCTGGGCAGGGCATAAGCCTGGGCACTGCTTGGCTAGACCACTGGGAAGGCACAGGCTACCTAACAGTGCGAGATTTCTCTAGAACTCAAAACGGCCTATGTGGACATAGATTTGTGCCCAGAAGTTGGTGAACTCATTAGCAAGTAAGTTGCATCTCGGCAAAGAGATTAACATTCGATTTTGTTAGGTCAAATGCACATGTTAAAAATTCTAGAAACAAAGTTTTTAAATTGCAAAGATGAAAAATCCTACAATGAGAAAATTTCTCAGAAGAGTCTTTAACTTCTAAGAAGGGGAAGGTTGGAATGAGGAAAAAGTCCAATTCATTCACAAAAAAGCAGGAAAGGGGAGGAAGAGAAAAATGAGAAGATAAATAGCACAAAATAAGGTGGCAGAAAGAATTCAAACCTATCCATAGTCATAAAAAATGCAAGTGGATTAAACACTCCAGTTAAAAGAGTGAATTTTTTTTTTAAAATCTAGCTGTCTATCATGGATGAGAGGAACATGAAAACAGATGGACAGAAATATAAAAAGAACATGGAAAAAGGAAAACAGGATTGCTAGACAAAATATTTGTTGTTCTCTACATAGCTACATTCGTTGTGGGAATATACATTTTAAGTTAGAGAGAGAGAGAGAGAGAGATGAAAAGGATCTAATTTTTTTTAAATTTTTTTAAGAGAGAGAGAACTTTTTAATATTTATTTTTTAGTTTTCGGCGGACACAACATCTTTGTTTTTGTATGTGGTGCTGAGGATTGAACCCGGGCCGCACGCATGCCAGGCAAGCGCGCTACCGCTTGAGCCACATCCCCAGCCTTGAAAAGGATCTATATTGGAAAATGGCTTACTATGTTAGACACAGTCCCACTTGTGTCCAATGGGTACAGTTTCAAAATATAAAAAGCGAAGATTGACAAGACTGTGTGGAAAAATGGACAAGTCCACCAATATGGTGGGAGATTTTAAAAATACCTGTAGTAACTGATTCATCCAGCAGACAAAAAGTCATCACGAATATAGAATACTTGTACCCAATAACTGGCAGCCTTGGTATAATACAGAACATCATGTTCAACAACTGAAGGGAACATAGTTATAACAAGAGAATATAGAAGACTCATTTGATGGCCATGCACAAGGCCACTAAAAAAAAAGGCCTTAACAAATTTTCAAAACAAATATATAAGTCAGACTACATTATATGATCATAATGCAAGCAATTTAGAAGTCAATACCAAAAGTATTTCTGGAAATGAAAACAAAAAATTTTGTATCTTTGGAAACTAAGTTTCTAAAAAAACTCATGTGCTAAGCAGGAAATCATATGGAAGTTATAAAATACTTGGATATAAGGGATTATGAAAATACTTGGCATGAGAACTTGTGGGGCAGTTATGACTATACTCAGAAAGGAATGTACAGCCTCAAAAGACTTATAACTGGAAGCTTTGGGGGTGAAGCAGTTTAGGTAGTCTGCCATGTTTTCAACGGTTTTCAGTTTCAAGGGTGTGGAATGAACCCCCTCGCCCTCTGTCGGGTGAGCAGAAATGAGACCTTATCTTCCTAACCACCTGTCTCTTGGGGGGGGGGGCTTTCTCCTCCTCTAGAAAGAGAAGATTACATCCACCTGGACTCCATCTACAGTAACTTCCAGCCCTCTCTGAATCACATAGACCCTGCAAAAAAGGTAAGAACAGCCTGGGTGAGACTCTCACCTCCCTCCACTCTGAGGTGCCATCTTCCCCAGGACACAATAGGATCTTCAGCAAGTAAAGCCAGGTGTATGGTTTGTTGGTCCAGACAATGGTCCCTGGACTACTCGGCCAGAAAATGAGCATAACCTGGGAGGGCACTTGGTAGGGGAGGTGGGGAAGGTGGAATCCACCCTCCCTCTTCCTCCTCTGTGATTTCCCTCTCCATTGTAAGTATGTCCATCATGGTCAATTTATTTAGTTATTTTAATTTTTAAGCAACTATTAACGTCAGAACAATAGTAAATACTTACATGCCTCACCCAGATAGTGGTGTTTAACATGCTGTCATGTTTTCTTTCTTCCTATCTACCTATCAATTCAATCATTCAATCCTAGAGACTCAGGAGGCTGAGGCACGAGGTTTGCAAGTTCAAGGCCAGCCTCAGAAACTTAATGATTCTCTCAACAACATAGGGAGAAAATGTTTCAAAATAAAAAAGGGCAGGGGATATAGCTTGTTGGAAAGGTACACCTCAGTTCAATCCCCAGTATTTTAAAAAGGAGGGGAATTAATTTTTTTTTTTGCTGAGCCATTTGAAAGTCAATTGCAAACATTATGACACTCTCTCCCGAAACACCTCCACACATATTCCCAAATACTATTATTATACCCAATAAGTTGATAATAATTCCATAATATCATCCAATAACCAATTTTTCCAACTGATCTAAGGGCATCTTTTATAACTTTTTTTAAGAGAGAGAGAGGAGAGAGAGAGAGAGAGAGAGAGAGAGAGAGAGAGAGAGAGAGAGAGACAGAATTTCTTAATATTTATTTTTTAGTTTTAGGTGGACACAGTATCTTTATTTTATTTTAATTTTTTATGTGGTGCTGAGGATTGAACCCAGCGCCCCATGCATGCCAGGTGAGCGCACTACCGCTTGAGCCACATCCCCAGCCCTATAACTTTTTTTTTTATATGTGGATATAAATTTCATTCGGTGAATTTTGTTGTTTCTTTGGCATTTGTATCTACAACTGGCTTTTAAACATATAACGTGTCGTTTTGAAAGTCTAGGATGGTTGTCTGCAGGAGGGGCCCATACTCTGTATTTGCCTGATTATTTCCTGGTGGTCTCATTTAACTTGTCCTTCAATCCTCGGTAATTCCTACAAACTGGAGGTTAGGTCTAGAGGCTTATGTCTTAGATAATGTTATTGCGCCACCCAAGAGAAACACAACATCAGGTTGTCCCATGGAGACTGAGGCCATGACTGGTTCCCTGGGAGAAGGTGACCACTTCTTAATGACCTCATTAATATTATTTCATCTGGGTAGATATTTGAGGACAGAAGAATCACCAAGTGTGATTGGCCTCAGATACTGTACTTCCCAGAGAGAGAGAGAGAGAGAGAAAGCAAATCTTGGGACAAAAAATGAAATCCCTGGCCAGGCCTCCTGTAAGCCCTCCTGATGAGGGAGGGATGATACCATGTGTTTGTGCTGGATTCCAGGTAATAGGACAAGTTCAAAGCTGAGATTTTCCTAGGCCCGAGTCTCTAATGCTTTCAAAACCCAAATCACTCATGGGCCCAGCCCTCATTGAATTCTGTTTCTCTTTTCAGGTCCAAATTCAGAGGCCCCAGGTGATAATGACAGCCTTGTAAAAAGCAAAGCAGTTTTGTGTGGCGCCGTGGGATCTGGGAGTGAGGGGACCCCAGCTGGGCTAAGCTTGGTGGAACATTTCCCCATGGAGAGCGCGCCCCAGGAGTTGATGGGAAACAGCCACTGCACATACCAAAGAGGAAGAGAAGAGAGAAACAACAAACTCAGCTTCTGCTTGTAAAGTCGTGTGGAAGCACCGGGGAGGCTCCAGAGGGTTTGTGGTGATGCCAGGCGAGGCCTTCTTGCCCACTTCCTGGGAGGTTCTTCTGAGCGCGCCAGCCCACGTTCAGCACCAAGGACAGCGCCCGGCCTACGGGCTTGCAGCCGGGACCGCTTCCACCCCACGACTGCGCTTTGCAACCTACACAAGACTCATCTAAGGACCCTTGCATCCCATTTTCGTAAAAGGCGTCTATTTTTAAATAATGTAAATATTTACAGGATAAATACATAGTATATATCTAAGATTATTAATAAAGTTATTATTTATATGGGTTGTGATTTTTCGTGAATAAATATTAATAACGTATATTTATAATAACTCAAGACAACAAAAGCAATTTTGTTAGAATTTCCATGGTTCCCAGACCTTTCTCCGGTTGCCAGCAGTCTACAGTGTCACCCGCCAGGCCCTTTTTCTTCCTCCTTTCATAATGTAGGTTTGATGAGATGGGGGGTCTAGAGGTGGCGAGGGGGTAGCTCTGCACTCTGTAAAGATACCATCCCAAGTCTTCTCCAGCGTCACCTCTGGTCCCAGAGAATGCCATGAGCAAGACCACACCCACCCACCTCACAAGAGACAGGGACTCACTCCCCCTGGGGAGAACCAGTTCTCCTGGAATGGTCACATTTCTTTCCATAGCTCTAGAGAGAGGGAGTCCTGGGTTCTATCTCCAGTTTTCTCATCCATCCCCTGAATTAAACTGGGGGACCAAAAGCAGGATCATGTGAATATTTGGACTCAGTCTGGTCTTCCACTGAATAAGGACTAGATCATTTCTAAAGTCTGCCTCTTCACTGTCACTTAACATTTTGGAGAGGCTTTGTGAAGATTCCCGGTGTGCAGCTCAGGATACATTTTGTACTGGACACCTCTCCCTCCGGCCACCGCACACCCCCATCTAAGACAGAGCCTAGACTCTGCTGCCCCCTCGTGGATGCCTCCAGAATCTGCAGGCACCATTCAGGTTTTCAGTCATTTCCTCCTGGGCTTCAGCCATGAGAAATTTTTAACCTACCCTTGATTCGTTTCCATATTTGCTATCCAAATCTTGAGCTCCTCAAACGTGTATGGAGTCATAATTCTTCACTTTAAGACCTGCATCCTGCCTCTACAGGTCTGGGCATCTGTGGTCATGAGAGGGGATATTTATTAGGGCTGCTGACCCCTGCTCCCATCTGGAAGGACATTATCCACCTTCACACCTTCCTGCTCTCTCCTCCCATCTACTCAGTGGAGAAGCAGGAGAGACGAGCCAAACTCAGAGGCTGCCCAGGTCCGATTCTTGGCAAGCCATTCACTACCTGGGTGAGTGTGAGAAAGTAACTTCTTCCCTCTGGACCCCTGTTGTCTCATCTGCAAAAAGCCAGGGACCAATTACCAAGTGCCAAGCACTGTTCACCATCCTCCGTTTGCAACTGGAGGGCAACGGAGGCAAAGAGATACCTAGTAACTTGCCCCGGGATCATGCCGTCAGTGGGTGGGAAGCTGAGATTACAAATTAACAAGGCCAGCGGTCAAGTCCATGTCCTTGACCATCAGTCACGTGTTGTGGAACATGAGATTAACTGGATGAATACCTGTAAGGTGCCTGGTGTGTAAATAGTTCTAAAAAGAGAAAGAGGGAGAGAGAGGTAGGGAAAGAAGGAAGGAAGGAAGTGGTGAGAGAGAGAGAGAGAGAGAGAGAGAGAGAGGGAGAGAGAGAGAGAGAGAATGGAGGCAGAGAAGGACGGAAGGGAGAGAGGGAGAAGAAAAGAAGAAAGAGAAAGGGAACATCTGCTTCCTCCTTCACCATTCTCTCTCCAGCATCCCTCCTCTCTTCTTGAGCTTCCTCCTGCAACCACAGAAAAGTGATGGATTGGGTTGGGGCAAGATGACAGGAAGACCTTGTGGCTTTGCAGAAACCTGGAAATGCAAATGCATAGAGATGTGCAAAACACCTGGAGGCAGACACACCAAGGCACATGAAGGAGGTTCTGGTGGGGGCCTCAGGGCGGGGGAAGTGGGGCTCACCTGCGCCCTTGGCTATGTGCACAGCCTGCCTGCCAGCCTGCCTGCCCTTTGGTACATTAGCTCAGACCCAGTTGGTAGCATCCAACAGCCTCACAGCTGCACACACCCCCCCATCCCCACAGCCTGACCTATTGCAGGTTCGTCTCTCCGACAGCAACCCATGGTTCCTTCCAATGAGGTCACTCACCTGCCCAAAGCACGGAAGCCTCACTCTCTTATTAAAGCAAATTCCACATTCCTCAGCATGGTTTTCAAGGTCCCTGGAATTGGGCTTCCATCTTTCCCTCCACCCCACATCCCGGTCACACAGACTACTGGAATGCCACCCTCTCCCTTCAGCAGATTCTCCGCCCACAGCTTCCTCTCTAGTAACTGCAACTCCGGTTCTGCTTCCTCCAGGAAGCCCTCTTGGATAGGATCCCTCTCAATTAACCTCTCCCGTCTGCGTCTCCATGACATTGCTATGGACACTTGGCGCATCCCACTCTCCACCCTGTTCGAGGGTGAGGACGGGGTTTTGTTCCCCTCTGGACTCCACAGAGCCTAACAGTGCCTTGTGCATAGAAGAGGCTATTAATGCTCATTAAAGTTAATTGAGTCAAAACTCATCTCTGCCAGATTTTCGGCTTCCCTCCCACAGCCAAGCCTCCCCCTGTCTGGAAGGGATCAAGGCTAAAGGAAAAGCCTGCGTAGCTTTTTCTCTCCCTCCCAGGGGGCCCTGGTTTGAGAATAAACAGCATCCTGATCCTTCCTCTCCTTCTCAGGTTGATTCCAGGTCACCCTCAGTCACCCAGAGACCTTGGGGAGCAGGACAAATAGGAAATGGGGCTGGAAGTTCAAGGACCACCTCCTGACAAATCGATGACCCCAATGCCACTTGCCTACCCTCAAAATGCGTGGAGGAGGAAAAATCATTTTCCAAAAGCATCTTGTCTGATCCAGACCTCCTGCGTCAGATTATACTGTGGTGTTTTAGAGAACAGGAGGGTCTTGGCATTTAGACCTCGGAGGACCTGTTCGATGGATCGTGCGATGTGACTCTGTAGATGGCGTTTAAATGACACCCCCACGTCGGGCGGGCCTGATTCACCGGCGATGATACAGCAGGTGGGGGTGCTGGCGGCTTCCTAGGCTGGGCTGCCTGACAAGAGGCAGAGCTCACCGGGGAGCCAAGCAGCTAAGGAAATTTACTGCGTGTTGGAGCCAGGGAAAGTGGAATTGAACTTGGGCGATAATCAGCCTGATTAGCTTTGTGCCTCCTGGAGGGAGCTGAGGGCGGGAGGCAGAGCTAGGGAGGGGGTGCGGGGGAGCCGGGTCAGCCAGCATCAAGGTGGAGGAGGCTCGGGAGCTGGGGTTTGCTGAGGTCAGGAATCACTGGGCCTCAGGAGAGCGCAGGAAGCGGCAAATCCAGAGGAGACACATGGTGCTGGGAGCCAGGGTGGGTCCAGAGCAGTGACCAGGATAGAGTCTGGCGACAGGTAAATGCAGTATAAAGGGCGAGGCAGCCAGGACCCAGGGGAAGGACTAAGGGCAGAGTTCCGGGCCCATGGCACCTCTTCTGGTGCGGGCCTCATGAAAATCTCAAGATCGGCTGCCAGCATCCCCATCTTCAGGTCCCTCAGGGACTTGGCCTCTGCCAGGTGACACTGGGTAGGAGGCAGGAGTCCCCAGCCTTAATTCTGGGATAGGCCATTGTTCTCATAGGGTGGCCACAGGAGCCCCTGACCTGAGATGCAGCCATAGTCCCCTGGTTGGGTAAGGCACCGGCACCTGTTTATGTGAGATAAAATGGAGTCTGTGGGCAAAGAGGATCCACAGTGCCCGGTGAGGACCGAGAAACAGGCCACCGACAGGCCCCTTCAGGGTGGCATCTCCAAGCTTCCAAACTGTCCTAATTGCAGCAAGAGCCCGTCCACTTATGAACCCACTGTGGCTGCCAGGCCTGTGCCAAGCCGTGCATCCCCTAGCTCCCCACCCCAGGCACCCAACCTGCTGTGCAGAGGAAGGAAGGGAAGGGACTCCCCAGCCTTCGGGGCCTCCCAGCAAGGCTGGTCAACAACTGTCACACCGCCCTGGGGAACTCCCGGCCTCTGGCCTTTCTACTACCATGACATTTCACATGTGCCTTGTGTTAGGAAGGGTGGAGACCTCAGCATCACTCCATCTGATCGACCCCATTGCTCTGGACCCACGGTGAGGCAGCCCACCAGCCCCTTTGCACCAGTGAGCACCCAGGAAGGAGGGAAGCAGCCTGCTGGGTGGCGCTTCACCAGGCGAGGACATACCAAGGCCTGTGGTGGGGACAGACTCAGGCAAGCACACAGCTTTCTCCAGTCCCAGGCTGGGCCCCAGGGCCTCCATGGCCAGCAGAGCCAGCTTTCTCCTAACACATGCAGGAGAGGGGAGATTCCCTCCTCAGGATCCAGAGGAGCCTCTTTCAACCGCCTGGGAAGGATCTCTTTCTGCACCACCAGGGTAAACCAGATGGTCGGAGAGGGGACCACTCGCCTGCTCTTCCTGTGTCCCAGGCTGAGCTAAAACCTTCCTGGGCGGCTGGTTTTCTCCACACCTCCCTCTTTTTCAGAATGGACTGCACTTTGCAGAGACCTGGGTTGACTCTCTCCAGACCCGGGATGTGGTCTGATAAGTCAGGGATGCCCAGGAGTGTCACTGCCCTGATGCGCCCTGCAAGTCCCAGGGATTTCCCTGCTGGAACCTCAAGGCAGGCTGATCCTGGGAGAGGCAGCCCACCACAGGGGAAGGGCCCATGGAGGAGGGCTGCTCAGCTCTTGCCTGGGTCAGGAAGCACAGAGATCATGAAGGGAAGGGGACACAGAGAGGACACAGCCTTCCAGGGCATGCCCCGTGACCCCCCTCCTCTAGCCACATCCCACCCGCCTGTGGTTACCACCCAGTCAGACCATTCAAACTGGGATGGACTGATGGGGTCACAGCTCTCGTCATCCAACCATCTCGCTTCTGAGTGTTCCTGCGTTGACAGGTGCTTTTGGGGAGCACCTCATATAAATGACCACCCCCAGCTCACTTCTTCTAGAACAGCGACTCTCCAGATGGCGAGGATGGAACCACCTGAGCACTAACAGAGGACCCCAGGGCCCAAGCTTGTGCACACAGGGGATGGAGAGACCTCCGAGTGTTGGGACGACTCTCTAGGGGACTGTTGAAGGGGACTCGGGCTCTTAAAGCATAGGCAGTCTCTGTTTCTTACCAGAAAGATACTCTCTACTCACTGTCCTTAGT